TATCTGCAGCCAAAGAAAGGTCAATGGAAAAAATCTGCAGATTTCGTTTAGTTTTCAGAATGTATTAATTCCCTTTTAAAATAAATTAAATGTCGTACTTGTTAATCATTACTTCCATAGCCCAGAAAAATAATGCGAATTTACCACCAGGTGTCAGAACCTCAGCACTCACGGAAAAAGGAAATGATTATTGTGAGGAGAATGGTGATGACTTAAGGCGCGTGCATCGCCATATTCCAGAGCAGATCCCACGAACCTTCCCTTTAGACGTGTGTGGCTTGGGGAATCAGATGCATTACATACACACGTTTTGCATTGCAATGGGTGTCTCATCAACTCATGAAAATTATAGCAATCAATTAAAGCTCATTTTCTAATTTTTATATTTTAAGCGTAACTATAGGTCTTAATTTAAATGTGTAGGGTGTGCACTGCATTTTGTAGAGATGGTAATGACAGATGATGGTGACTTCGCTTGACATCTTAAAGAATATCTCCCCCTTCCCCTAGGAACAAAATCTATTACAAAAATGTTTATACGGCTTTATCTATAATGGGAATAATCCAAATATTCAATAGCAGGGATTTGGCTAAATAAATTACAATGCATCTTGTTGATAGGCGACGATACAACTATTGGAGATTATGTATAAGAATATTTAATTACATGGAAAAATATGGGAAGTAAAAGTACATTCAGAGTTTAATTCCTTAGTTATAAAAGTTATGTGTGGGTGCTTGAATAGAAAAAAAGACAAGAATGATAATAGTTATTATTCTGGATTACGGATTAACTCAATATTTCCCAGGCCCAAGTAAATGAATAAAACCGAAGGGAGTAAGACAGTAAGGAGCAGTGGGGACTGAAGAAGTGAAGCATACATGCCCCTTCAATAACATTCAATGTTTTTTTAACACTATGAAGGCCAAAAAAACTACTTTTCAGTTCATGGTCCCTGGATTTGGGGACTATTGTCTTCCTTGTGTTTTTGTATTTTGCTATTTTCTACAGTAACTATGTAATACTTTTGAATACTTTTCTTTTTTTGTGTGTGAGGAGATCAGCCTCTGCTAACCTGTGCTAACATCTGCCAATCCTCTTTTTTTTTTTTTTGCTGAGGAAGACTGGCCCTGACCTAACATCCATGCCCATCTTCCTCCACTTTACATGGGACGCCGCCACAGCATGGCTTGCCAAGCAGTGCGTCAGTGCATGCCCGGGATCCGAACTGGCGAACCTCAGGCCGCTGCAGTGGAATGCGCGCACTTAACTGCCTGTGCCACTGGGCCAGCCCCTTGAATACTTTTGTAAGCAGAGTTATTTAAAAACTCGAAGGTAGCCACAGTGGTAAAATTCAGAAAAAAGATATATATATTTCTCTGATGGCAGAATATTTTGGTAATATTATTTTAACCAGCAGGGAAATGGGGAATGATTTTGATAAACACATAGTATTAATAATGAAAATATAAGAGTCTCACAAATTATGAACTAAAGTTAGAAAAGATCAACTCCTTTTTTAGAGATGTGTAAAGTAAGGTTATCCCAAGGTCATTCAGCAGAAGGGCTGAGGTGGCCGAGGGGCTTGTGACACATGCTGACAGAAGTTTGGCCAGTGCTTTCTAAGGTGTGTATCTTAAGTGTGGAGGCCCACACTGTCTTGGTATCCAAAGGAAATGCATTCAGGGGATGAGAGCTAAGCAAAATCTTGGCTGAATGGGGAGGAAAGGCTACATAGATGGGGACAGTTCACTCACAGATGGGGAGAGAAGTCAGAGGTCGGAAATTAGCCAGACAGGCTGGGTCCTGGCTGTTGTTAAGGTTAATACCAGTCAAGTGAAGACAGGATGGCCAGCAGTTGAGCTGGGGTTGGGGACAACAGCCAGGACTATTCAGGATTGAGACGAGCTGTGCTACCTACCAAAAGGCACCCTTCGATGAGCTGCTTTTAGACAGATCTCTGCGCCACCCTGCTCAGAGGTACTGGAAGGTGACTGAGTGCCTACGGGGTGCTCAATGCTGTCACACATCCTTACGTCCATGTGAGATGGACAGTGTTCTTCCCACTTTATAACTGTAGACACAGGTCAGCTCACCTAGTGAAGAGATGGTAAACAAACCCAGGTGCGATTGACTTCAAAGCCTGTGTGGAGTCACACCCTTCCTGTGTCTTTAATCCAATCTGCAAGCCTGACTGGAGGCTTACTGACCTTCTTGGAGGGACGCTGGAGCATGGGGGCCAAAGGAATCCTCCTCAGGGCTGCGTGTTAGTCATTAACCCTCTAAGCCAGGTCAGAGTCAGAACAGTCTGGTGCTTCCCCACTTCTCCCACATAGCCATTCCGATAGAAACGTCCAGGTCTCAAACGGTGCACTCCGTGCCTTAGAAAGCTACACAAATAATCAACAATCTCTAATTCATAAGAGAATGTGCAGGGCCGGCCCCGTGGCTTAGATGTTAAGTGTGCGCACTCCGCTACTGGCGGCCCAGGTTCGACCTGGGCACACACCAACGCACTGCTTCTCCGGCCATGCTGAGGCGGCGTCCCACGTACAGCAACTAGAAGGATGTGCAACTACAGCAACTAGAAGGATGTGCAACTATGACATACAACTATCTACTGGGGCTTTGGGGGGAGGAAAAAAAAGAGGAGGATTGGCAATAGATGTTAGCTCAGAGCCGGTCTTCCTCAGCAAAAAGAAGAGGATTAGCACGGGTGTTAGCTCAGGGCTGGTCTTCCTCACAGAAAAATAAATAAATAAATAAGCGAGTGTGCAGCTAAAGAGCCAAACATAATACCTACTGGTTGACTGAAAAAAAATCAGAACTGCTCAGTTTTCATTTATGAGGTGCTTTGATGTGCATATCTTTGAAAAGGGTTGACTTACAAAGACATACATGAAGTTCATGATTTGTAGGTCAGTCCTTCTTCAAACAAAACAGTGGCTTATAGTAATTCAATAAAATAAGCATTATTTCCTGTCATTTGAACGTGTTCTGGTTAGAGAATAGAGCAGACGTTTGTGACTATGATGAGGTCCACGGACCTTCAGAACACACTTGACTCTTTCTGCCCCAACCCGTGGGGGCGATAACAGCTAACGTGTAATGTGACCCCCACCCCCACCCCCTGGCATCTTCTTAGTCCCACAGGAAACATCAAACCTCCCAAACCGTAGTCTTCAGCTATGCAGAGGTCACTTAATTGCTAAATTCACAAAGCAGGCTCAAAAGAAATCAAGACAGATGAACTAAATGGCGAATCTTATCAACGAAAATTTAAGTATCTAACTCATAGGTGAATCACTAAAAGCTTCAGACACTATTTATCCTTATTTCAGTCATAATTCTAATATACTTCCTATGGTTTCCATTCCTCAGCAAGTTAAATGAAAAAATTAAATTAAATAGGGGAGAGTATTAATAGAAATAAGTAGCTACTAAGTAGCAGCTGTCAAGGGAAAAAGGAAAAAAACTGCAAAATGCGGGTGGAACTAGACCCAGAAAACATGTAATAGTCCAGAAAAGCTACCGCCCCTGTGACTTGAATACAACCATGAAGGAATCACTGTGTGATAACGGACGCTCTGAATGATGATTCCAAACCATCAAGGTTACATTGTATTCAGAAAAATTTATTTAAGGTAATAAAGTATCTAATATACTTTAGAAATATTTCTATCCAAAATTAATTAAAAAGCATTAGTGTTCAAAAAGATAAGCTTCTGTCGGCTGAACGACTTCCTCACAAGTCTTACTGAGTCTCATTCTTCAACAGTGCAGAATAAGCCACTGCGATAGAAGATACAGAGATATGGAAGCACAAATAATCTGAATGATTTATGGTAAATAAAAAGGCAGCTTGGATCTATGATTGAAAAATGAAAATAATTACCAGTTTACCTATACAGAAAGTACAAGTTTCAAGAGCTTAACATCAATCAACTGCTGTCAAAACAAATATTTAGAGAAACCAAAAATAAAACTGCTTAATAGTGGGGGACAAACTAGGACAGAGAGGGACGGGGATATACCAAGAAAATGAATGAAGAAAAGCGAGTAGCAGCCCCAAAAGGTGTCTTTACAAACAGGGATGCAGATCAGAGGAAGAGACACAAACCCGTCTAGGAATGTGACCAATGAGGCAACAGAAAGTGACTGGAAGTCAGTTATAAATAAAAATGACAACCCACAACCCCGGGAGTCTTAAATTATTTGATCCAGACATTATCTAACCCCTTAGATTTGTTTGGGGCTGTGGTGTTCACCACTCTCCATTAGAATGACACGTGGGACACAAACAGTACTGGTTGGAGAGAGTGTGTCAGAGCTGATGCACCCTTGAAGGTCGGGTCAGCGGTATACTATCGTGTTCACATAATATACTTCTCAATATGAAAAAGTAACATGTCAAAGAAGGAATTAAAGTAAAATTTATTTTGAAATAATCAGCAGATCTCAATTTTCCAAATAAATGGATCTTATAATAATGTTCATTAACTTCACACTCTCAGTATTCTAATGCAGTGGTCATCAAACTGTTTTTAGCCCAGGAGGGACCAAACCAGCAGGTCTCACAATATCTCCCTTCCCATGTTTTTAATTTTATAAGTACAGTCAATTTCTAGGAAGACTTACTAAAGAATTCTGCTTCTAAAAAAATGTCTTAAAATGATCTAATCTATAATCTAGCTTGTCGATTCACAGGCGAGAACACTCAGACCAGAGTAATCTCCCCAGCCTCCCCCTTCTCGAGTGGTGTCCCATCCACTACTCTTCAGCCCTGACTGTCTTGGTATTATGAGCAAGCCCTTCCCACTCCTACCTTTAGATTTATTGTTAGGGCCTTTTGTATCATCTGGACAAAACCTGTTTTAGTAATCCCCAACTTTTGCCTCCAAAGCAATCTAAAAATTAAAAAAACTTTACAAAGGAAGAAATTAAGAACTTCAAAAAAATTCTTTTAGCAACATGTAGCAAGGTCTATCAGAAAAAGACTGCTTCCTAATTTAATTTATTAAGATTTGATTGACAATTTGCTAGTCTGGTGAGACCTTCCACAGAATAGACACTAAAATGTGTTAGCGAAAATGCTTTAAGTATATATACATATATTGTAGATAAACACAGTTATAAATTGATAGTTAACAATAAGCAAGTGTATATAATAAAAATATGTACCATGAGCCCAATGTTGAGTTTCACCACCAAAGAATGATAATGTTAAGGTTTAAATCATGATTTCTTGATGAATAGACAAGATACAAATAAGGAATAAAAACGTAGGAACAGACATTGAAGCAAATTATAAGAAACTAAACACAATGTAAGATGACAACAATCGTACACAGGAGGAGAATCTGACATCTATGGTGGCACATTTAGACCAGGTACACTATTTTCATTACAATGAAGCCAGAACAAATTATTTGAAAATATTCTTCGTTTACCAAAGAATGGGAAGCATTTTTGCTGGTGGCAGGTGTGGATTTTTTTCATCAAAGAACATTAAAAGGCTGAGGCAGTAACGATACCACTTGTATATTTAACCAACAGTTCTGATACTCTCTCACTAATCTTTGATAGCTGATCATTTGAATAGAAAGACATGATGAATCAAAACATATGCCAGTTTTAAAATGAAAAATTCTTCAAACCAATCCCAGCATCTAAAGGGTAAACACAGAATGATTTCCCAATCTGGCATAAAATTTCTTTTTCATTCGAGAAAAAAAAATATATGAATGAGTCTACCTATCTGTAAAAATATGAATGATGAGAACAGTGCAATGGCTGGGTTCTCACACCGTATAAGTTCAACTTGAAATGCTCATCTGGTGCAGTATTCAGCTGTCGAGAGGGAGCAACTCAAATGACATCACACAATCTATGAACCAGCTGGAAGGCGCCATCCACACTTTGCCCTGCCGAACCCTCTCTGGGCGATGATTAGACAAGTCCTCGTAGATGATGTACTGTGTGCAGAAGCGCTGGTCAGAGTCGGGCTTGGCGTGGTACGCCACGGTATTGATGGTCTGAGTCACGTCACTGTCTGGCTTGGGCTTCCTGCTGAGGATCTGGCCCCCGGCTGCAGTGACAAGCTTAATAAGGTTGTCCTTCGGATGGTGTTTGAAGGTTCCCCCAAAATAGAAGTAGCATCCATCAAAGAGCTTTGGCAACTGAAACAACAAGAAAAAGCTTGTTAAGAGCAGACCAAAATATTTAAAAACACTGCATATGAATGAGGGAAATAAAAATAATAGTCACGAGCAGTTAAGAAGCTACTTAATGAGGTGCTGGGACAAGCCATATTTCAAGTGAACTATTTGGGTCAAGAAAAATACTTATGCAAATTAAAGTTTCCCATTTATAATGTTTTTCCTAAAACTCAGTCACTGTCTCCAGTCCTTTTCACTCTCCTCAGATTTTAGGTGTGCTTTATGCATCTATATATACATAAAGCAAACAAAAACTGCTCATCAAGCTTCTTTTATCAGAATGTTTATTTACATTTGGTGGCACTTAAAGCCCTAAGATTTCCTAGTGTATCTGACATCTGCTTCAGGGATATGAAGCTAGACTTAATGAAATCATAAGAGTAATGACTTTTCCATAGATCTTACCCAGTTCTGCCCATCCATATTCAGGTCCCTTTATATTATCAACCTAAGGTCTCCAGGGCAGCCACGTGGCAGTGGCTTCTAGGGTTCTAGAGATATATTCTTTGAGACACAATGCATTACGAAGCCAGGGCTAGGTATCCAATTAGCTATGAAATGCACTTCTGTGTGCTTTATTTAAAAAAAAGCTTCACAATTTCCTTCTATGAAAATTTTTCTTTGTCATTTCTGATATACTTATATATCAACAGGATAATGGAATATGATCCATTAAAACCACAATATGTGGCCATAAAGACATATGGTAACTGAATCCGAGCAGCAGCTGTAAGTCTTCTTTCAAGCTACTTCCTGTATCTCAGACTTACCTCAGCTTCTGAAAGGTTTATGGGAATGCTCAAGATGCCAAAAATCCATTAACAGTATGAAATTATTACCTTCTGGATTTTACTGCTCATCGTGTTCATCTCTCAGAATCAAGTGCTTGAAATAAGCACAATTAAAATTTTAATCAGTCACCTGTACTTGTTGGAAGGGCAGGAGAAGCTTCTCCTGATGGTGACAATATTAAGTTATACTAAGAACAAGGAAAGGAACATCAAAAGAAAAATACCAGCTGTTCTCGGTTGAGCCTGCTTCTCCGTGGTCCTTCAGGAATTTCATACTTTTCTTCCTGTTCACATTCTTTTCTTTGTAGACATGCTTTCACCCCTGGCAAAAAACAAGGATAAAAGCAAAATAAACATCAAGTGAGCATTATTTCTTTCTCACTGAAATTAAGCAATTTACCTAAGTGGTTTTTCTTCTTCATGGTTGTTTTAAGTATTGATATGAAATAGAAAAAGAAACCTTACTTACACCAAAACAAAATGTAATAAAACTGGTTTTCCATATAAAGAAAATACAAGAAATCTTTCCTTCAGAGGACTGAGTGGGGGAGTAGTACCATACACAAATTAATTTTAGTTTCCTTTCTGAAAAACCTAAGTCAATACACTATTTCACATACAAGAATAAAAATCTAAATTTTTATTTATAGCAATTACCAAAATTAAGGTGAATACACAGCCCCTTGTTTAGTTCAGCCCACAGTGATCAGAGCTTGAGCGCTTACCGTCTGTACCGCTCATTTTGGCGGTCACACGGTAACCTCCTGTCAGACTGGAAGTGATCTGACATTAAGGAAAGTGCTTTAGTCCTTGGCACCTGGCTCAGCGGCCACACTACAGGGCTCTACAGTGCTTGTTAAAATAAACAGTAAGTGGAGCCTGGGACTTGCAGGGATTTGACAGGTACACTGAAGGCACCAGTCTAGGGATGACTTGGTTGGGCTTCGCAGCAAACAGAACATTCTTCTGCTAGCTTGGGTAAGCGTGTTCACAGTTCCGGGTTAAAAAGCAAGAGCACCACAGACAGCCCAGCCTGGTGTCACTCCACGCACTGGCTCCGGGGTGGGGAAGCCCTAAGCAGGGCCACTGGCTGACAGCCAGCACCAACTTACCGGCGAAGCTCTAGAAATGACGTGGCCTCAGGAAGGCCCAAGACCACTCACAGATGGGAGGACGCAGGCCGCTTAATCCAGAGGCCTTGGGATACTGCCTGTCACCAGCAAGGCAGTGAATTCACGGCACGTATATATTCATCTGTACATATAAATCGCGCCCTTGTTTTGATGATATACAACTAAACTAAATTTGGGATTTGGAGTCAAATGACTTAACTATCCCAATTACTTGCTTTGGGATAATTATTTAAACTCTTTGAGTCTCAGCTGCCTTGCCTACGGGGAAAAAAAGGAAAATAACAGTACCACCTATTTCACAGGGTTCCTGTGGATAAAATGCAAGAAGTGTTCTGGAAACTGGATACTATAATAAATTCTCTTCATTATAACAAACCCTTTACACAATTCGCTATTTGTCTTTAAGATTATTGTGCTCATCCTCAGTTTGACCACTGAGGAAACTCCATGGGGGTGGGAACCACGCATTATTCACGTATGCATTCTCCAGCATTTAATACACTCTCCCAGGGAACCGGAGCTTAATAGCTGAGGTTACTGCCAAAGATGGGGCAGTAACTCAGGTCTTCTCACTGGCTGTCTAGAGTCGTTAATAGGAAGGAAAAAAGTTTTTAGAAAATTCACTAAAGATGTAAATGTTAAAGATTTCTATCTATTTCTACTAATTAAAAAACTATTACATAGCACTAAGGAGACTTCAGAGCTACAGTCCAAATTCTTAACCGTTTTAAAGTAGTTTTGATAAAGTATGTTATCACTTGATATCTAACGGCTTGAAACTTAACCAAAAAGAATTTATGGTTGCATAAACATATACTTTCGGTTGAGAATTAGACATATATGCTGGAAATATACTGCTTTAACAATATTTTGAAAAGAGCAGTGATAAAATCCTGTCTAGCTGATCCTTACTTAATTTAACAGTGGAATGACTCCAACACAGGAGAAGATCCAGTACTGGGCCTGTAAACTGTGCCTGTGAAGTTCACCCCTTTGAACTGAAAGGTGGCCCAGAACCAACAGCTAATCTGATACAAGTACCAGAACAGTCCCAGGATTTCTGACATAAAATTAGATTCATTTATGTGTGAGTAAGAAAAGGCCTCTTGACTTATAAAAATTATCTTGAGAGCAAAAACCATCACTGGAAAAGACAAACAAAATCAAGACTTCCCAAGATTTTCTATATAATGGTTCACTTTTGACTGATCCAGAATTTATGACATACCATTTTTAAACTTTTGTAACCATGTGCCTGCCAGGACCAGTTTGAACTGACCCTATCTCTTATCAACTGTTCAATCTTATCAATCAATCAAGAGTGATTAAGAGTTGTTTTTCAGAAAATTTGCAGTCACATAGCCAGAGCATGCGCAGAGGAGGAAATCGTGACCTGAAATGACAATAAAACCAAAGACTCCCCCTGCACAGAACCAAAGGACCAGGACATGACTAGAACTTGAAAGTCGGACTCTCATCAGAGGTGAGGGGTCTGTTGTCTAGGAAGATCTGGTGTTAAAACCTTTTCCTCACCTCACCATAAATGTTTAAAACCTTACCACAAATGCTTAAAGTCCTCTAATCAAAACCTACCCCACCAGCATTTCAGTGTACCAGCCTGTTCTCCCTAACCTCTTAAATTTTGCCCTAAATCTTGAACTGGGGAGACAGATCTGAGAGCTTATGCCTCCTGTCTCCTTGCAAATCGATCTCGCAATAAAGCTTTTTCTTTTCTCAAAAGCTGATGCTGTAATAATTGGCTTTTTATGTGCATCGGGCAGAGACCCCCATCTTTGTGCAACAACATTTTAGACCCTAAACGGACATACCAATAATATTTCATCTCTGTCTACACGAGTTAATCTGCAGAAGTGGGAGAGAGAGAGGAGACAGAATTGAAACAAATGATACCTTCTGGGAAACAAAAAGTGTGAGAGTCCTATTTATTAGGCATATTCTGCTTATTCCAAAGTAATCCAAATAACACTTGGATTTTGAATATGTTTAGAATCAGAATTCAAGAGATAGAAAAGACCTTGAAGATCTAATCCAACTTTCCGGTTTTATAGATTTGGAAAATCAAGTGCAGAAACATAAAGTGACTTGCTAAGATCATGGGTAACAAAGCCAAAGCCAACCAGCTCCTAACACAACAGCCTTCCTCTTCAGTCTCTTCCCCTATCGTATCTATTAAGCACCTACTATGCACAAAAGGAGTCACGGCCTCTGCCCTAAGGAGGGAAGTCTTACTTTTTTGTATTCCTTCTATTTCTTGCCACTCCTGATCGCAATAATCTAATCCTAAACTTTACTAAAATTAAAAGGCTTTATGTTACTTCTGGGTGCTTAATTTTAAATTAAATTTTATTGCTTTATTTTCCTCTATCAATAAATAATTCATCCACTATGAAATTCAATTTTTAAGTACATTTTATAATTATACCCATGTTTTAAGGATACTCAGGGTACCACTGAGACGATCCCAAGCCATGTCATGTGACAGCAAGGAAAAATCCCTACTCTGGTCCAGAAACTGAAAGAACTTGGTGTGAGGTGAATTTGTGCTACTAAGTCAATGAAGGAACCAAGGTTAAGAGGTCCCGACAAATACGGGCAGATTCATGTTTTTCAGAATCAGCTTCCTCTTCCTTCCAATCTAAAATGGCTAACCTTCTGAAGAAATAACCAATGTGGAAGCAGATCTGACTGTTAGAAAGATACATAACAAAGAAAAATATTCTTTTACGCTTCATATTTATTTCAAATATGTTAAGAGCAAAAACAACTGTTTTCCTGAGTAAAAGTATCTAAATGCAAAGTTGATTCTGAAAACTATGTAAGCCCAATATAAACATAAAAAACTGGCAATCAAATATTCTGGAAGTATTAGTGATTCAGATCTGTTAGTGAAATGGGATTCAAAAACATGTGCGATGTGAGAAACAGTATACAACCAGTTTTAGTTCCTTACATTTCTGATATTGATCAAATATAAAATAGAATTATTAAACATTAAAAAAAGTAGAACATCATTAAAAAAATATGAAACATTAAGATGCTGTTTCACTGTTACTTCCCTGGGCACAAATGAATAGAATGTGAATAGAATTCATCTACAAAAAACTGTTAAGTATATTATGTTGACTGTGTATAAGTTTATTCTTCTTATACCTGTAATTCCTCTAAGAACAAACTCTCTTCTCATAAATTTTCATTAGTGGAGAACCACTCTAGCTTTATAAAAACAATGAATGCTTTGTTACCAAATACTCATCTTATGAGCAGAATGCATCATTATAATCTGAATGCGTAAACATTGGCCAGTGCTAGAAACCTTAATTTTCCATAATTTAAAATAAAATACTCATAATCACAAGGCTTAATCAAAGCAATTTGGAAGGAATATATTTTTAAAAGAGCAGACAACCAATGTGGAAATCACACACCGATACTGTCGGGTTAAAGAAGAGAAAGAAAAACAAAATCTTCAAAGCCCAATTTGTTCCATTCTATTTTCTTTCTGCCTGTTTACCTTTAAATGACCAAGAATACAATCATTTGTTCTAAGTAAAGCTAACACAAGCATCTTCTCTGAAAGGCACATCACAGCCTTCTTGTGCTTAGGAGCACTAGACAGAACTTCAGTACTATAATTAGGGGTCATTTTAAACAGTGAATGTACAAAAATGTGAACAGGGCACTAACAGATGGAGAGAAGGGCACTTGTTTACAGTACAAGCATTGAGATGGACAGCCGGGAACATGCTCGTTGGGTGACTCAAATTTTTTGCTGCTGTGTACATGTCTACAAAGCCACAATGAGTACTGATTTAGGGATTACAAAACACTGTAGCGAGTAGGCTGATCTGCAAACACAGAGTCCAGGAACAATGAGGACTGGCTGTATATTATTTCCATTTCAGGCAAGGGAACTGAAATGCAAAGAAATTAAGTTACTTAACAGCCGTTCAGCTATTAAGTGGCAAAACGGGAATGTGAACCCAAATCTGCTTAGTTTTCTAAAGCCTGTGCATTTTACACTAAAATATAACTTTCTGGTACACAGATAAACCTTGGGCTCAAAAAGGCATGATGTGAATATTACAAATGCTTTAGAGCTGCTTCAATTGAGATGTTCCAAGATGCTGCCAAATACATGCAAGTCAGAAGATGTTAACAACTGACTATT